GAAAAGTGTCAGGTGTGATGTGTGATAGAAGACTACCAGCAAGATTAAAAGGAAAAGTGTACAAGACGGTGGTGAGACCAGCGATGTTTGGTTTGGAGACAGTGGCACTGAGGAAAAGACAGGAAGCAGAGCTGGAGGTAGCAGAGATGAAGAAGTTGAGGTTCTCTTTGGGAGTGACAAGGATAGATAGGATCAGGAATGAGTACAGAATCAGAGGGACAGCTCATGTTAGATGTTTTGGAGATAAAGTCAGAGAGGCCAGACTGAGATGGTTTGGACATGTTCAGAGGAGCGATAGTGAATATATCGGTTGAAGGATGGTGAGGTTGGAACTGCCAGGCAAGAGGCCTAGAGGAAGACCAAAGAGGAGATTTATGGATGTTGTGAAAGAGGATATGAAGTCAGTTGGTGTGAGAGAAGAGGATGCAGAGGATAGGGTTAGATTGAGGCAGATGATTCGCTGTGGCGACCTCTAAAGGGGACAGCCGAAAGAAGAAGAAGAAGAAGAAGAAGAAGAAGAAGAAGAAGAATTCACCCTTATGAAGCATATTTAGATGAATGAATGATGAATGGTGGGCATAATTTGGGAGTTCAAATGTGTTGGGAGACAGAAACCTTTAACAAACCCTTGTTCCCCTCACAGGCTGGCACATCTCCTCATGCCTTCTCCATCAGTACCACTATGTTGCTGATCCAAAGACTTGGACTGAAGCTCAGGCCTACTGCAGGGAGAAACACACAGACCTGGCCACCATTCAGAACACTGAAGAAATGAACCAACTTGCCGACACAGTTTCATCTTCTACAACTACAACTCTGACGTCTGGATTGGTCTGTACAATGTAGTTGACTGGAGGTGGTCAGACGGCTACAGTGGAGCGGAATATAGGAACTGGCAAAACCGTATTGACAATGAACCAGACTTTTACTCATTCAATCAATTCTGTGTGATCATTGGAAGCGCAGGAGGGTGGTGGGATGATTCATGCTCAATATCCTACCCATTTATCTGTTACAGAGGTAAGGATATAGGAAGGCAAATGTCAATGTTGAAAAGAAATTGATTTGGAATTCATTATGTGAAATTAACAAATCTTCCCCAAACCCTGACTGCAGGAACACAGCTGGAGCCTCAGTTTGTTTTAGTCACCAATAGAATGAATTGGTCCGATGCTCAGAGGCACTGCAGGGAGAACTTCATAGATCTGGCCACTGTGAGGAGCGACACTGAGAACCAGGAGATCCACAGCTTGATGCAGAGTGAAAACTGGGTGTGGATTGGTTTGTCCAGAGATCCCAACATGTACTGGTCAGATGGGAGTGGCTACACATTTAGCTTCTTATCCACAGGTTCAATCGACATTAGCTCGACGGGCGTCATATGTGGTACAGCTCAGCAGAAATCAGGAAAGCTGAGGCACTGTGAATCTAGATTTCCATTTGTCTGCTACAGCGTCCCTCCACCTCGTGAGTGGAAAATACAATAAATAAAACAAAAGTAAATGGATAATAATACAAACTTGTTTAAATTCCTGAGTTATGATGAGTAATGGCCAGAAAAGTGTTTTTGCGGAACATCATGATGTCATAGTGAAGTTGACCATGCCCATGTGGATATAAAATGTCATCCCTTCATCATTTTATCCTATCAGACCTTACCTTTGAGTGAATTTTTGTCAGAATTAAAGTATGAATTCCTGATTTATGGTTTGTGAGGATAAAGTGATCTTTGACTACCAAATTCTGATCAGTTCTTTCTTGAGTCCAAGTGGATGTTTGTGCCAAATTTAAGGAAATTTCCTTAAAGTCTCCATGAAAGATTGCATTCACAAGAATGAGATGGATGCAAGGTCACAGTGACCTTTACCTTTGATCAATGAATACTATTCAGTTCATTGTTGTGCGCAAGTGGACGTTTGTGCCAAATTTGAGGAAATTCCCTCAAGGTGTTCCTAAGAGACCACATTTACAAAAATGACAGATGAGGTCACAGTGACCTTTGACAAATTCTAATCAGTTTAGTTAGTGGAAGTTTGTGCCACACTTTAAGAACGTTCCTCAAGATGTCTTGAGCTCATGGGTTCACAAGAAAGGGATGGACGCACAGCTGTGCAGACAACCCGAGAACATAATGCCTGGTCATGGCTTCCACTGGCTTAGAGGCACACAAGAAAAAGAGTTCCCATTGACACATGCAGCTTTATAGTGACTTGCCATGTGAAGACAAAGGTAACAGGACAGAAACTGAAGCAGCAGGGAGATCTCAACACATTAACAATGATCAAGGCAGCATGCTATAAGAAACAATGTGTCACTGTTAAACCTGTAACTGAAATGATTAGGGGGAGCGCAACTCAACTTCTACACCTGAGAGACATCTGACAATGTATTCTAGTTCCTGTTCAGAGGACTTGAAATGTGCACAAACAGTTTGTACACCTACCTGCTGACTGACAGCTGCAGCAGAAGAAAGTGCGCAGCAGTTTCAGAAACAAAAGAACTTTGAAGACTGCGGTAAAGTTGGAAAGATATTGGCAGATTCGAACTTCCGCGATCAATAACTCTTCAGTGAAATGTTGTTAAAACACAAAACACGCATTTTTTCAATCATAGTAAGATAGACAACGAGCTACAACATAATATTCATCAAAATGAGCCGTCCTCGGAGCCACACCAAGAACATTGGCGTTTACGTGCAGCCAGCTGTGAGTGCAGCCAGCTGTGAGTGCAGCGCGCAGGGACCATCTACAAAGTGCAACACCGAAAAGAGATGTTACAAAAATATTCAATAACATCACTATAATACAGTGTAGTGTCACCAAACTCACTCCACACTTCATTGGTCTCCTATAGACTCCACTAAAACACTTGGTTGGAAAGAAAGGCATTTTACATAATTTCTGGGAATTTTTATCAGGAATAGTAATCAATAATTTCAATATGATACAGTGTAGTGTCACCAATTACACCCTGCGGCACAGAGAATTTCAGAGTTTGAGGCCTGATGAACTCATCGTAGGCGAGGCAAGTTTCTCATCAGAACTGATGTCACAGATTGATCTAAAATTAATCTATTTGTTGATGGATCAATCCTTTAAAAATGATGTGAAAATGTTATGAGTTGTGCTCAGGGCCGTGCCTGACCAATTTGGCACCCTAGGCAAGATATTTGCTGGTGCCCCCCTGACTCACGGTTCGGTTCAAACCTAGATTTTCAAAAACTACTGAAGAAACATTTCAAAAACTTCCTGAAAAAATGTCTGGATTTTATTAATTATTAACCAAATGTTGCATTGCAATAAACATGAACATTACTTAAGTTATATTAACTTACAGTTCACAATAAATAAATAAAAACTTGTTAATCTCTTAATAGTCTACATTCTCTAAATAATCTTATTTCTCCACTGGCAGTTTGTGTGTGGGAGGGAGATGCACTTGAGGCTGTATCACTTGGTGCTGAGGTGGATGAGGTGGCTGCAGTTACATTAGTAGGTCCAGGATTTGCAGAGGTGGGGGACAAATACAATGCATCTAAAAAAATGAGATACATATATTTGACAAACTGGGCTTTTACAATATATTAATCAAATTGCTGTTGACTGTGAAACCATCATGGAATAACCATAATAGCACCTAACATTACACCCTGCTTTGATCTAATGACATTTTAAACACAGCAAACAGCCAAAATATAAAAAATGCAACTAACATCACAAATTGCACAAATCTGAAGATTAGAAAACAGAAATATACAGCATATGAATATATGCCTGGTTGGTAAACAGTGAGTGGTTTGTGCAGCAGCACACTAAACATTAAAAGAAAAGATAGGCCAATATATTAAATTATGTTGCTGATTCATTCCATCATACACTTTGAGTCTTTCTTTACAACTTTCTCTAAGATGGGAGCAACATTAACTGACATTAACTCTAGCTGAATGCTGAAAGTATTCCTAAAACAAGTGGCTAATGAAGTCGCAGTAACATTGACGTTACATAGTAGTAGCCTAACCGCTAATCATTAGCGGCTAATGAGCTGACGTTAGCCAGCAAGTGCTTAAGTAACTGTAACTTACGTTGTGTTTCTACCATTTTAAATGAAGTGTTCATCACATCACATCATTACCTCGGTCTCGTTCACGTTTCTCCTCCTCTTCTTTTCTTTGTTTTTGTACTGCGCCCCAGAGGGCTTTTGCCTCTTCATGACGATGGCAGTCAGTTTGTCACTCAGGAGCATCACATTTCAGAAGATGGCAGGTAGCAGGGGGGGGAGGGGGGAGGGAGGCGCGGTTAGGGACCGTGGTGAAATTGATGCTGCCTGCAGCTGAGAGGCAGAAGGATGCCAAGCAGGCAGAAATTTAAATTAGAAATATTATTTCATTATTATTTAAAGATGTATTGCTACACTGTCGCCTCACAGCAAGAGGGTTGCCGGTTCGATCCCAGGTGTGGGAGCCCTTCTGTGCGGAGTTTGCATGTTCTCCCCGTGTCAGCGTGGGTTCTCTCCGGGCACTCCGGCTTCCTCCCACAGTCCAAAGACATGCAGATTGGGGATATTGGGTTAATTGATGACTCTAACTTGTCCATAGGTGTGAATGTGAGCATGAATGGTTGTCTGTCTCTATGTGTCAGCCCTGTGATAGTCTGGCGACCTGTCCAGGGTGTACCCTGCCTCTCGCCCAATGTCAGCTGGGATAGGCTCCAGCCCCCCCGCGACCCTCAAGAGGATGAAGCGGTTAGATGTATGGCTATATGTACTGTTGCTGTTTTGTAGTGTATTGTTGTCTAATTTTTCGAATAGAATGGGGAAGAAAAAAAAAAACACCTCACTCCCTGGCGCCTTCTGGCATGCTGGCGCCTATAGCATTTGCCTAACCTGCCCTATGGGCGGCACAGCCCTGGTTGTGCTGCATAAAATGATTTAACAAGTTGATTGTCATGAAAGAAGGTCTGGAGTGTGACTTCAGACAAACCAGTCTTTAGCTAAAGTGTTGCATAAATGACCCATTCTCAAACATGTTGACAACAATGTGATTAAATATGACATAACTTTAGTCTCTACACTACCAGTACCAACATACCAATATTTCTGTGTGATTAATTTTCTCCATAAGGTGATAGAATGTTACATTAGAGCCATCCTCAATTCTAAGGATACTGCTGGCCGACTGTTCCTCATGAATCACTACACCGTAGGTGCAATTGTACATGGCACAAGAGAGCAGATGGCAAGGCAAGGGTTAAAAAAGGTAAGTGTAATCATTATTATATTATCACTTTAGTAGTCTTGTTTTTAACCAATACATTTACAATAGCCACTTCACCTTTTTGGTTGGTCCAGTGGAGGAAAATACATAATATATTCTCATCATGAAATCTTTGTTTTTTGGTTCAGTATATTACAAAAGAAATACAGTCCTTTTTCCATGTTCACACATTTTGTCAGGTCACATTTGATGACTATGATGGAGCCATTGGATTTGTCAACATAAGAAATGTGCACTGGAAGTTTGTGGTGAGTATAAAGCTACTTATGTGCCTTTACAGCATTTATGTATGGCTCATGGTTTGTCCATTTAAATGTTATCAACCTTGCAATTGCTATAAAGGTTTATGAATACCTATAATCAAGTAAATAAAACTATATAGATTACTATAAGTTGAATCTTTTAGTAAAAGTTCATGTACTTTTATCAAATTTTATAATTAATCTACTCACAGACAATGAGAGGCTTACTGTGCATCAAGTTGTCAACTGCAGTTTTGAAGTTTTACATAAATGAATCTTATTGTTACCTCCATCAAGGAGGTTATGTTGTCGCCAGCGTTGGTTTGTTTGTCTGTCTGTTTGTTTGTTTGTTACCTCCGCCAAGGAGGTTATGTTTTCGCCCGTGTTGGTCTGTATGTCTGTTTGTTTGTTTATCTGCAAAATAACTCAAAAAGTTATGAACGGATTTTAATGCAATTTTCAGGAAATGTGGAAAATGGGACAAGGAACAGATGATACAATTTTGGTGGTGATTAGTTGAAGCAAAGGGGATACAATAATAAATATGGTCTGACAGCCTCAGCAGCAATTAAGACGGTGAAAATGGCATCATCTGGTGGCTGGAAAGCACGTCTTGTTCTACTTGCTAAAAATATTGTTTAAAAAAGTTGAAATTAATGTTCTGTGTTGGAAAAAAAGAAAGTGAGAAATACAAAAAACATTATATTCTGTGTTGGTACAAAATAAAAACGAAATAAATACACCACAGTGTCTCCATGGTGAAGGCATATATAACCTAATAATGATAGTGATGTAAATAACCTAATTGTGATGCAGGCTGCAAAATATGATGCAGGGGGGGGATATCACCTACTTGGTGGAGGTCTGCACTCTCTCTCACTCTGAGTGTTTTTCTAGTTTTATTATTGTTGCTGTTGTTGTTAATGACACATTCGAAGATGGTATATGGTTTAATGATGCTACCTTTTCATGTTACAGTATCTTCATGCCCTTTCAAACCACATTTTTGTGGTTGATCCTCTACAAGGGTCAAATGAAGTCGAGGACTCCAAAAAGGCTGGCTACAGATTTGGGTAATATTAAATAGATTATGGGAAGTAAATAGGTTACAAACACATTCTGTCAAGCCATAGAGTAAGCGCAAAGGTAAAGCAAAAATGTATTTTACTTTCAACCTGTAGACAGTATTTCAAAATGCGCCGGAACAGACTTGGAAAGGAGGACTGGGTTAACATCAAGTGGCAGCCTGGCAAGATAACGCACACCTTCCAGAAAGATGACACCAGTTGTGGGATCTTTGTCATGCAGGTGATTCTACGCAATATGTTTTCTTTATGATAAAACAGCATGTAGTTTTACTATGTAAGATGATCGTACACAGTACACGTGTTGTTTTGCCATCTCTACAGATGGCCAAGATGACCGTGACACAGTTTCCAAACATCCCAAAGAGGTTTCACATTAACACATCCAAAAAATCTCTTCAAAATCTAAGAAGAGACATGGCAGAAGAAATTCTGAAAGGATCAGGTATTGCTCAAAATATTACATTGATATGTCAAACACTTCCTACAAACTTAACAGTAATAAAGACCTGTATTTCCTTTTTTGCAGTTTCAAAGGATGAGTTCTGTTCCTTCTGTGGCAATGAGGACCTGCCCAAGACTGCTGTTGATGCTGTCTGGGTGAGATTTAGACATCAATAGATAATCTGAATAGTGGATAATCAGTAGATAATCTGGGGTTAAGAACCAGACACAACATTAAATTATTCAAATATTATATACTTTTATGCATTACATAGAGGTAACATTTTCTTAATATGTTTAATGAATTTATCCCTGTAGATTCAGTGTGAAACTTGCACAAAATGGTTTCACATGCAGTGCCTTGGAATGACAGCGGCAACGACACCAAACACAGATACCCCTTGGTATTGAGTACTGTGCAACGACCCTAAATAAAGAGGCTGTAGGTGAGTTTGGTGAGGTCTTACCTGAGATAGGAGACTTTCTATGTAAAAATAGGACTGTGGATTTCTATCATTAATAATGTACAGTGAGATGTGCGTGTGTGTCTATTCTAGGAGCGTTCATTTTGCCATAGTTCTTTTTCATATAATTTTACTGTATCACAGATAATCAAAATGTTGTTTTTGAGTCTCTATAATTGATTAACATTCCTACTAAAATTCCCAGAAATGATGAAAAATTCCTTTCTTTCAAACCGAGTGTTGTAGTGGAATCAGCGGCTGGAAAACTGGGGTAGATATATGCAGGGCTGATGAGCTGATGGATTGCATGTGACTGGCTTGGAACAGGTGTGTCAGATCAGCAGTGACCATGGAGCCGGAAGAAGAGGAGCGCCACGCCCACCACACAGACACAGACACACAGAGAAACACACAGGGGAGCACAGGAGACACAAGGGTAGGGGAAGAACAAGGAAAAAACTGGAGGCCAGGCTGTGGCTGCAACAACTATAGTTAAGTTATTGATTAATATTACTTATAAAAATTCCCAGAAATTATTAAAAATGCCTTTCATTCAAACCAAGTGTTGTAGTGTAATCTGTAGGAGACCAATGAAGTGTGGAGTGAGTTTGGTGACACTACACTGCATCATATTGAAATTATTGATTAATATTCCTAATAAAAATTCCCAGAAATTATGTAAAATGCCTTTCTTTCCAACCAAGTGTTTTAGTGGAGTCTATAGGAGACCAATGAAGTGTGGAGTGAGTTTGGTGACACTACACTGTATTATAGTGACGTTATTGAATATTTTTGTAACATCTCTTTTCAGTGTTGCACTTTGTAGACGGTCCCTGCGCGCTGCACTCACAGCTGGCTGCACGTAAATGCCAATGTTCTTGGTGTGGCTCCGAGGACGGCTCATTTTGATGAATATTATGTTGTAGCTCGTTGTCTATCTTACTACGATTGAAAATATGCGTGTTTTGTGTTTTGACAACGTTTCACTGAAGAGTTATTAATCCCGGAAGTTCGAATCTGCCAATATCTTTCCAACTTTACCGCAGTCAAAGACTAACTTTGGAAGAAGTCCACTTAATTTGTTTATTTTAATAGCTTTACAAGAACATTTTTGCATGAAATAAGTACTGAAAAATTTGTCCCCATTTAATTACACTGAAAGTGCATAAGGAAGGGATATTTTAATACCCAACTCAAGTTAGAAGATGCAGTGAATTTTGAGCCCCTGGTGTGTTTTCCTTTTTTTCAGCTTTGTAAATATTCTCCAGATTGTTTTATCTCATTTCATTATCCAACAAAAAAAGAAAAAAGAAAGAAATACAAAAACAATGTCTTGTCATAAAAAGCTGTGTGTTTAAGTAACTGCGAATAATCATTGCATGATTATGATCTAACTGAAATGGATTTTATTCATAAAATGTATCTTCAAGAAGATAAACTTAACGTAATGACTTGATTTTAATTGTGTTTAAAATTGATTTAAAAAAATAAACAAACAAAACAGAACATGACAAATAACTACACATTGCTGTCCCATTATTTACATACCAAATTACTAGATAAGAAAATGTCTCTGCCTATACACTAATCTTTGAAAGCAACACTTTCATACTTGCCTCTCACAGGTGTTGAAAGGCATTCTGAATGATGTAGGAAATTGTTTTGGCTGGTTGAGAGACAGACAAGAGCGCATGGAGAAAAATTCCAATCCTTCATTATAATTAACAAACCTCCCACCAAAATGTGGTCTGTTTTGAATATTCTTGCAAACTTGATCAGAATATGAAAACCACACAAAGATCTGCAATTGGCTTCCTTGGAAATACATAACTAAACCTTCCGGACAGAAAAGTCTGTAGCTACTTTGAATATTCAGAGAAAAGCAGACATTTATTTTTGCGAATATCTGATCAGCTCAGTGCCAGCTCACGCCTATCAATGCTATAATCACTGTTGCTACCCATGTCAGCATTGCCATGAAGTCACCCTGTTTTTTGCATAAAGAGCCCAACAGACCTATAAACTTTTTTGGTAACATAGTAGGAGTGGGTGTTGACTTACTTTAGATTTGCCTATCAATAATCTTGGTTGAGTTTCCTTTCAGAGCCATACATTGACACACACAGTCCACAGAGCAGCATCACCATGGAAAGGATCTGGCTGGGTGTCTTGTATCTCTCAGGTCAGTAATTCTTGGATATAATTAATGTCTGACTGCTTATTACCTTATGATACCCTAATATTAAAGTAACAGGTGTTGTCCTAGTTATTTTAAAAAATATTTATTTTTGTGCTGGGACCCCTGACAGAGACTATCTGTGTTGAGAGCCTATACTTAAAAATCAAAAGAAGAGGTACTTCCCTGTGACGAAGGTATTATTATTTACAACATCAGACGATTAATTGTTATGACTCACGCGTCAATGTGTTACCACCTTTTAATGTTGCTAGTTTAAATACTTAATAAACAGTTAAATCATTTTGTCCAGTGGTTCCAAACTCAGGGGTAAGGGCCCTCCAAAGTTGTGGCATGATTGAATACCTGCAGAAAAGAAGAAAAGTACATCTCATTCATAGGTGCTGAGTCCGTAAAGTAGAAGTAGGCAGGTAGAAGACTCACAACACTGCAGCTCCCGGTAGAAGAATTCTTTTATTGAGTGACTACATAATAACTAAAGATTACATAATAGATAAAGACAACGTTTCGAGCCCAAACGGGCTCTTCGTCAGGTCAGTGATTAGACAAGTGTGTGCAGGTGTTCATCATTGGGGATCCACCCATAGGTGTGGTCAAAAAGATGAAGACAAACAAGCAGACATAGCTGATAATCATAATGGCACTCATACAATATACAAGTAAGATACCAAAAAATGTTTAAATAACATGTACAGTATAAAAATAGGGATTCTGTAGTTTAATAGCTGCACATTTGATAAGAAGGGGCTTAACCCGTCTCAAAGAAAGGAATAAAGGCCTGTGTAATCAAAAAAGAAAAAACCTCCACTAAGAAAATTTAAGTGACTCAAACGAGGTCAAAACTAATGAAATAATAATAATTAGAAAAATGTAAGAAAAAACATATATTATGGTTGTCTGGGGAATAATAATGAGGCAGCCTGAAGCTGTCAGTTGATGAAGAATCAAGTTCCCCTTTATGATTGAATACCTCAAAACAGTACTTAGTGTAGTACAACGCTATATCTGTACTGTGCCTGCTCATCTTAAGTAATTGAAACCTGCCCGCAATCAGGCGGCTGTTTCCTACATCCAAATCGCAGTATGTTCCTGCAAACATTTGTACAAACTTTGAACAGCTTTGTCGTTAACAGTGATTAGCTTTAGGGACAAAAACCATTTGGTTAGGGAGAGCATGACATTTTGGCTTAAAATACTCATTTTGTTATGTAGTGCCACAGGCTTTAATGGCTCTTTCCATGGCACTGTCCTGGCAGAAAACGCAGCAATGCCTCAGGACTAATATTCAGATGAATGAATGATGAATGGTGGGCATAATTTGGGAGTTAAAATGTGTTGGGAGACAGAAACCTTTAACAAACACTTGTTCCCCTCACAGGCTGGCACATCTCCTCATGCCTTCTCCGTCAGTACCACTATGTTGCTGATCCAAAGACTTGGACTGAAGCTCAGGCCTACTGCAGGGAGAAACACACAGACCTGGCCACCATTCAGAACACTACAGAAATTAACCAACTTGCCGACACAGTTTCATCTTCTACAACTACAACTCTGACGTCTGGATTGGTCTGTACAATGTAGTTGACTGGAGGTGGTCAGACGGCTACAGTGGAGCGGAATATAGGAACTGGCAAAACCGTATTGACAATGAACCAGACTTTTACTCATTCAATCAATTCTGTGTGATCATTGGAAGCGCAGGAGGGTGGTGGGATGATTCATGCTCAATATCCTACCCATTTATCTGTTACAGAGGTAAGGATATAGGAAGGCAAATGTCAATGTTGAAAAGAAATTGATTTGGAATTCATTATGTGAAATTAACAAATCTTCCCCAAACCCTGACTGCAGGAACACAGCTGGAGCCTCAGTTTGTTTTAGTCACCAATAGAATGAATTGGTCCGATGCTCAGAGGCACTGCAGGGAGAACTTCATAGATCTGGCCACTGTGAGGAGCGACACTGAGAACCAGGAGATCCACAACTTGGTGCCGAGTGATGCCTGGGTGTGGATTGGTTTGTCCAGAGATCCCAACATGTACTGGTCAGATGGGAGTGGCTACACATTTAGCTTCTTATCCACAGGTTCAATCGACATTAGATCGACGAGCGTAATATGTGGTACAGCTCAGCAGAAATCAGGAAAGCTGAGGCACTGTGAATCTAGATTTCCATTTGTCTGCTACAGCGTCCCTCCACCTCGTGAGTGGTTTACTGTCCTTCAGTGGAAGAGAGAGCATTACATTAGAATAAGTGTTACACTGTACTCAGATATGTATGATGGATGAGTTTGGTGTCACAAAGATAATTCCAAACATGTTTTTTTTTCTCTGTATCCAAGCACCAGTAATGAGACAGGTGGTAAAGCTGAGGATCGAGCCAGACGACCCCTCTGTGGATCTGAATGACCCTGCTGTGAAAGCAAACATCCTAAAAAAGGTGAGTCTCCCAAAATCCACCCTGGCCACACAAGCTTCAACAAACATTGTGGATTGATGTTTCAAAATGGCAACCGTCTGTGTTTCCCAGCTCCAGGACAGGCTGAAGGAGAAAGGAATGAGTGGAGTCACCCTGAAGTGGAGAGAGCAGCCAGATGGGAAAGTCTTCCACAAGGAGAAAAAAAGAAAAGGAAGAAAACTGAGCTCTGAAACTAAAGTCCAACTTTACTTCTGTTTATCTGACACCTTTGGTGAATGGGGATTCTCTGTAGTACACTTTTGTAGCAGCTGTGTGAAATATTTTAATGGAATGTAATGATGTTGAGCACGGGCAGAGCCGGAGGTTGTAAACATCTGGGGCTCAACCAAAACCTAGGGGGGCCCAGGGGCATGCCACCATAGGAGACTTTTCCCTCATTGATGGTAGCCATGTGCACTATTTTTCAAGCTGTTTGTGATAATAGAATACCTTAAAATCTGTACATTATTTGGAAAAAAATCCACGAAATTAAAAACAAAACAAAAAAACATGATAGTTGCCAAGGACAAAAATCATTTCATCATTCTCAAACTATAACACAACAAATGTAAATGACTCATTTTCCTTCATGCCATCTAAAAAGAGGCAAAATTGTCTGATGTTACTATTTTTCAGTTACATAACATAGGTAGGGTAGGACTTTACCAATCTTGAAACCTGTTTTTGTTAAACTATGCTGGAATAAAGTTCACAGAATTAATGTTTAGCTGACAAATCTGCTAAATTTGAATCCATGCCATAATAATTTGGGCTGCTCTGCTGCTTGTTTCCAATTGTGTGACTCTTATGTGTGACACTCAAAACCCAGTCCGAAGGCAGGAAGTGATAAATCTACATACTGTGCGAATTGAATATAGAGGAAAGGCAGGCAGCAGGCCAGAAAATTGAAACTCATATTGGATGTGATCCATAAAAAAATTGGTACATTTTTGGTTCCTAAAACACATTGAGAATGTTACGGTGCAATGTTCTGGTAATGTTTCAGCGGGACGTTTTCTTTCAGTTTCCAGATTGTTCTCCTTAAAGGTAGGGTAACGTTCTCTACAAACAACCTAAATATGTTTGGTGATATCTGTCTTAAAATGTTTTTGATTAGAACATTATGACCTAACATTCTTAAAATGTTATCAGTTGTAGGTTTTTTTAACGTTCCCAGATTTATTTTATCGTAGGCTAACATGCTTCAAAAACATTGTACAAATGTTTGGCGGTACCATTATTAAAATGTTTTTGTAACATTGTTAAAACATTATGCCCTAACATTTAGAAAACACTTTCAGTAGCAAGCTTTCTTTCCGTACCCAGAATATTGTTATAGTGTAGGATGTGCTTTAAAAACAAATGCTTTGTGCTATCATTTTATTAAAGTAATTTAACATTTTAAAATATACACTGTTGACTTTTTTTTCAATTCCCTTTCTTTTGTCCTCTATGTCTTTACATATTTAATGCAAAAGTTTACAAGTTTACAAAGACAAGTGTAATGGAAACACATATTTACATAGCATGTGTGTCCTTGCATCCACTGCTAGTTATAAATGGCAACGTCTTCACTAGCAGTGGCATGTTAATTAGGATATTTTATTTCCTGCACCTTCCTAAAATGCAATATTGTAGCAGCCACATTTTGCTGTACAAAGTAGGCTATGTGAAAAACACCTTTCGCCTCATCTTGTTAGCCATATGATACCCTGAACAGACCCAGAGTCGAGTACAGTATATGTCAAAAATATCTTAAACTTCAGTAAAGATAATAACTGCAGCTATGGTACAGCAATGTCCAGGATGTATGTACAAGATCAGAGACCCCGTAGCAAAATTTGTCTCACACTAAGTCAGGAGCTGCCCAAGTATTGCTGTCTCACAATAATAGTCCAGAAGAAATGAAAAGCATACACCATAAGAACATAAAAACACATACTACACATAACAGTATTGCACATGAGCCTCCCATGTATTGCACATAACACCAGCACACAACAGAGCACCACAGGCAAAACACAACATAACCCAGTGTTTGCTCAAGTGGGTAGTCAACCCCATCATCGTGCTGGTAGTGTTTGCCTCCAGTTGCCTGCCCTCCATCTAGAAAGTGCACTGGTGTATGACATCATGTGCAAAGAAGCAAATCAAGGAACAACAATACCAAGTAAATGTGTTGTTCAATACTCTCAACTGAAAATTAGGCCAACAGAAGAGTATTTACTCTGTTATATTAGGCTAAATTTCTTTAGGGGATAGCATAATGTAGCATCAGGGCTTTTGCGTTAACATTCAGAAGCCATCTCCTACTCTCAGCAATTTCAGTCAGAATTTATCAGCTCAACTAAAAATATCCATTCACATGATCATCACTGTGCTATTGTATCTTTTGAGAGATGAATGACTATATGAGCACTTGCCATATTTTTCATTTGCAGGTAAATTGAGCGCTTTAGTACCTGTGAAGGAACAGAAGGGCAACACTGCCCTCTTGTGTTTGTCTGAGTATATTGCCTTTAAAAACACAGCTGAGGAATTGTAGGAAACAAAAGAGGCATGCTATGAGTAAAACAAGGTGTAAAGTAATGAGTAAAAGTATAAAAAAAAAACAAAAAAAAAAATTCAATTAGTAGCCCGGGCTATTATTTGCTTAAATCACTGAACTCCACAGGCGTCTATATGGGACTGACCTTTAATTCCTTTCCTACAATAGTGTTGCTCAGCAAAGATGGGAAATATGATCAAAGTGTTTACTTTAACCAGTATGAATATTACTTGTATAAGCATTTGGCTTCGTTTCAAGGCACCTGCAGATAACAGCACCAGGCATACTGACACAGCACCACTTTATCCAATATTCACAACTTGGATTAATTTTTATGAAAAACCCTTTTAATTCCTTTGACCAGTGGACCTTTACGGACTAAAGAAATATAAATAACTTACTGGGTAATTGAGGAATGGACACATATTTTGACTATATGACAGCTACAGAGGTAGGAAGTCACCACTTTGTCACTCTTTTTTTTACCAGGCTGATAAATCTGAATGAATTACTGTCTTCTTTGGTGCTCATGGTTTCCAAAGAACTTCTGTGAATATGAACTGATTGGCAATAAGACCAGGCGTCTACATGAGACAAGCTTTATTTGTCAAAATGTGTAGCCACACCGGGCTAGTAAAAGAGATGTTTAACGCAGGCGTTTAACTGGCATTAAGCTGTTAATTGTCTAAGTATCTTTAGACATATTCTCAAAATCTGTTCTCTCTTTAAATGTAGCTTAAATCATTTTTTTTACAAGAGCACTGGCGCAACATCACACTCATTTCATAGTTTCAAACTCATATGTGCACAATAAAAATGTCCTTATTCAATAATATTGTGCCGTTATAACAGAGCCATGCATTTAATATTTGTACAATATATTACAATAAAATAATAATTTACAAATATCTTGTCCAAATAGCTGAATCAAATAGTTTTGCAACATGAAACAATAATGTATGTCATGGTGAGGCATTAGGCCTAATGTCATCTCTGGGTCATGAGTGACATTTATGTAACAGGTGTCCGTTATAAAATGGAGGAGCACCCCTGCAAATCATGACAGTTTAGTATTTTCCAAGTTAGACATGACCATAGAATGTAATGAGAGACATTCGAAAAATGGTGTCACAGAAAAAAATTGGTAATATATTGAAGAGAATTCTCCGTCCACATGTTGCGATGTATTTAATGGCCTCACAGACTACTGCTGTCTACAATGCTGCCTCCATTAAAACGGACATTATTATGACCTCCCCCACCATCACCATGTTTGTTGTTCTCAGAAACCTTTGACTCTGCCCTCTAGTGCCATTTAGTGAATGTATCTATGCCAACATAAAGGACGCATGGAAGTATGTGGGCAGTGATGTTTACAATGTTTGAAATGAACATCATTTTTGTACATAAAACATGGGTTAAAATGAGCCTCAAATTGGTGTTGGTGTTGCTCATAGTGTCCGTATGATGCTCACCTTGAAGCTCTATTTGAACTCTCAGAGATATTATGCTGTCTGGTTAGATTTTAATGAAAGAAGAAACAATCTCATTAAACAGATTTTAATATCTGGCAAAAATAAACAAACAAGAAAAAAACTCAATAAGTGAAACATTTGACATTCACCTTGTGATATTATGTTTTCTAATGTTAGATTACAAGTGAAATTATATTGTACATATAATTCCTCCCTTACCCTGTATTTGCAGTAAATGATTTGTGAGGTAGGGACCCTCACTCTGTTGCTTGTATTAATCAAAACTGACTGAATAATGACATTACCCTCACGAATGCTATGACACCAATGACTGCAACTAAAAAAAAAAAAGAAATAATACAGTGCAAATAGTCATACACAGTAATGACCATCACAGTGCATTACATTTTTGAAAATGTAACATTTTAAAACAAGCTGAAGAAGGTCGCTGGATCCTCACCATCCTCTTTCTCCAGCTGGGCGCCATCACAAAAATGTGGAGGGATGAGCCGTTGAGGGTCTGTCAGTCCCACGACGTTGTTGAAGAAGCTGAAGGTGGAAAACAGGAAGAACCCATGATGAAATCATTCAGACGAAAGAAAGATGATGCTGCTACTGTAGTTTACTGAAATCGGGAACACAGAGGCTAGGGGGTCAGGGGATTCAGGTTATCAAGAGCCGTAGCCAAGTTAGCTCAGCTCAGTCCAACACATAACCCCTCATAAAACCACAAATTGTTGTTGCTATGCTAATCATCTCCTAGCTTGTTGTATCAGTCTTCTCATCTAATTCCAGGCAAGAAAGGTGATAAGCCCATTTCCCAAATTGCTGGACTATTTCTTTAAAGGGACAGTTCACCCTAAAATCAAAACTAAATATTTTTCCTACTACCTGTGGTGCTGTTTATCAGTCTACATTGTTTTTACAATGTGAGTTACAGAGTGTTGGAGATATCGGCCCTAGAGATGTCTGCCTTCTCTCCAATATAATGAAACTCAAAGCCCCAAAAAACACATTTGAAAAACTCAACAGTAATGTCTCTTTCCAGAAATCATGACCTGGTTACTCAAGATAATCCACAGACCTGGCTTTGAACAGATTCATGTAGGAACTATTTTCTTGTACTGAACCAAAAAATGTTTTTTTTTTTGTTTTTTTTGGCACTCTGAGCACCACAAGTTGAGTGGTCATCTAGTTCTGTTATGTTTGGGAGAAGGCACACATAAGATAACATAATGTGTTCTATATATTTTTACAGTTTTGTTTTTAAGTTTTTTCTTGTAGATGGAAGTTTTCCAGAAGGGTTGGGCATTGGAAATCTCTCACACACCAAACATTTTGACTCAACATAAGAGGAAACTAAAAGTTGTCATGTGATGTGCATGCACTGACCCTGTCACGACCCATCCGTTTTTATTGGTATGAAACAGAGTGCTGACAGGAATGCATCCAAACTCTGTGACGGTGCTGATGTACTTTGCTGCAGAAACAGAGGTGGGTCAAAGAGAGCTGAGGCAGCACAACTAGACAAGCAGGTTCACAAGCATAAAACAGGAAGGCAGCTATTACACTGAAAGACCACAGAAAGTCATGTGCTACAGTACACCACATGACATCCATATTTCCTCAAGTTTACTTCGGTCTTACTCTACCTGGTCCCCTCTTCGTCTGCAGCTCTCCCCACCAGTTGTTGACCAGCAACCCCTGTCCTGGACCAGATGAGCTGCCTGTCACAGTCTGCCCCATCAGGGAAGCATTCTTTGGGATGGCTAGCGGGTGGAACTCTACACTCAGTGGTTTCTTGCAGCATGTTTGGTTCCTGTAGTTAATCTTGTACATGACAGCCTGGAGGACAGTATGGCATTATGCAGCAATTTGTGTTGGGCATGGCATCTAGTAATGTAAATGTTACTGCTATGTTGTCATTACCTGTTCGTAAAGTAAAAGTACATCAAAGTGGAAGGTCTTGTTCTTGTAAGTTCCACATTCTGATAGACGGATGCGCTTTCCTAGTGCGTCATAGCTGTACCTGGCATATGCCATCAGATTCTCACTTTGGGTGGACTTGGAAAAAGACAGAAATTTTATTGAAAGTTTTCTTATTGCAACGAGCATTGCAATACTTCTTTCGAATAATAGTAAGGTGAATAAAATTTAAGATTTACGCTGTTGCATAATTACATGTGGAAGGAGATAAAAACTTACCACATAGAGCCTTCCAGTCAGCAGTGGTGGAGATGCTGTTAAGATTAAACTTTTTTAAAAAATGAAGCATTTACATCACGACTGTGTGAAGCTTTTAACATAGTCGTATTACTTCCTCATAAATACTAAACCGACTAACAAAATCATAATCACCATTCAGAAGAAAACTAGATATATACGAATTAACTCAACATCTGTTGTGTTTGTACTTACTGCATGGCTGTGGCCTCTGAGCGAGGCAGCCCACTGTCAAGCACACAAACAGGACGAGGGCTCTCATGTTGTCTGATGGTAGATTCCTCTGCACACACAGATGCAAAAATGCTGCAGCTTCAGAGTGCTCACTTCCTCATAAACCAGCTGGTGAGGCTCCCAGTCACACCCACTGCCAGGTTTTGTTTTGTCTTCAGTAGCTCATACACCTGTCCTGTCAAAATAAAACACCATTAGTAATAACATGTGGGATGTTTCCGTGACTCAGCTGGCACAGATTTTATCAGATGTTCTGTTTGAATCTGGCCTGAGATGTTTATGTCATGTGATCTTCTCTCTTTTTTCAGTCCTTTGCTATCTCTTTTTGAGGCAGCAAATTAAGGCAAAGAATGTACTCTATATGTAAATCTTTAACCTGCTATTGCACGACTTATCACTTAAACATGATAGAAATATTTAATGTTTTTTGCTTTTTGTGTCCCCCTCTGTTCCTGAGTTATGGCGTTGAGTAATGGCTAGGAAAGGGTTTCTGATGAACATTATAATGTTGCAGTGAAGCTGACCTTTGACCTTTTGCATATAAAGTGTCAGTACTTAATAATTTTATCCTATTAGACATTCATGTATCAATTAGCGTATGAATTTTTGAGTTATGGCCAAAAAACACATTTTGTATGGTCATAGGGACCTTTGGCCACCTAATTCTAAACAGTTCATCCTTGAGTCCAAATGGATGTTTGTGCCAAATTTGAGAAAATTTTCCTTGAGGCCTTCTGGAACTATGGCGTTCACAAGAATGATACAGATTTAAGGTCACAGTGACCTTGACCTTTGACCACCAAAGTCTAATCAGTTCATCCTGAAGTCCAAGTGGATGTTCATGCCAGTTTGAAAGAATTTCCCTCAAAGTGATATCACATTCACAAGAATGAGACAGATGAGGTCACAGTGACCTTGACCTTTGATATTTGACCACCATTTCTATCTCTAGGCGTCTTGAGATATCACTTTTGCAACAATGGGACAGACAGATGTACTGATGGAGAATGGAAGGGAGGAAGAACAATTTGAAAACATAATAACTCGGGCCACGGCTATTGCCAGCACGTAGGTATTAAGAAAAAAATATTTCAAAGGGAGGTAGTTGGTAAAGTGTTGCCATATGGAAAAAATGGGCAATCGTGGAGGGTCCCGTAAAACTAATTTTTTTTCCTATTTTAATTAATCTAACAATTTATATGGCTTACCAGGCCCGTTGTGTGTCTTGCTAATGACCAGGACAAGATAATCTCCAAAGGCCCCCATGTGTTTTTGACAAATTATTCCAGCAGGTTATACAGGGCCTTCTTGATCCCTCCCTTGACCCAGGGCCTGGTCAACTGTCCTGGTGTCCCTTGGTGTTGGTAGCCCTCTGGGTTACAGTCCAAAAGGTTGAATACACACAGATCATTTCCATATTCGCATATAATTGCCATATGGCAACCAGTTAATTGTATCATTTGACAACAACCTTATCACATCTAAATTGGTTTTAAAAACTAAAAATTAAAAGTAAACTGGGACCCCCTCGCAAACGAGATGTCACATCTCAAGGGGTTTATCCTGTTAAAGAAATTTCAACTTGCCCTAGGAATTCTACCGTAATATTGAACACTTTGTCAACTTTTGGAGTGGGGAATTTGGTTTCAAGAATTAAACAATACTTTCTCTGATCACAAAGATATGTTTGAACCAGATTTTGTCCTAATAAATTTTTTAGAAGTGCGGCAATGTTGTCATCTGAACCAGTACAGTCATCTTAATTTTCCTGCTGTCACTGGACAATTTATAGTAGAAAAGGTGTGGATTCTGTGAACTTTTAAATTCCTGTTACAAATCCCCCCCCCCCCCCCCCCCCCCCCCCCCCCCCAAAAAAAAAGTATTACAATGCTGAATATTGTATGTTGTCGTTACAAACGGAGACAAGGTGAAATATATGCATTTGTTTTTTACTGATTAAAATGATGTGGTCACACTTCAGCACATTGATAGAAAGAAGGAGTTTTTTTTCAAAATCAATTGTCAGTATGAAAACATTTATAAGTTCAGCTTTAAGACAGAAATATAAAAAAAAAGAGAAGAAAAGAAAAAAAAGGAAATGAAAATATGTCAAATTCTGCTGAATTTTGTCTGAGACGCTCACAATGCTAAGAATGACACATTCTTAGCAGGAATAAATGTGATGTATTCCACATTAAAAAAAGTTATGAGTAACTCCACTTGTTGTATTTCAAATCTCAAAGACAGTTTGAGACATCAGTTTAAGGGAACCCTCAATTCTTGCGGAGGAACAAGCTGAGGAAGTCTACCGGTTCCTCTTCACTGTCAGCCTGCATCTCTGAATCCCGGCAGAAGTCTGGAGGGTTGAGCTTACTGGGGTCTGACATCCCGACGATGTTGTTGAATAAGCTAGTGAACACAAAGTGACATCAAGATCACTTAGCCAAATGCAAATATTTCTGATTTTCAAAAGTCTATATCTGGACTGTCACCATCACACTTGTCCCTTCTGCCCTACAGAGTGATTTACACAGTGTTGATGTTAATGTAAACTAACCTCGTTACCACCCATCCATACTGGTCAGTGTGGTACACAGTGCTGACAGGAATGCATCCAAATTCAGTGACTGTAGTCATGTACTTCCCTGTAAAGTCAGAGATGAAAAATAAATGTGTTAAACTGGGATGGCTGAATAGACAGTTTAGATCATTGCGTACTCATTTACCTGTTTTTTCGGGCAGATCTCCCGTCCAAGTGTTGACCAACAGTCCTTGTCCGGGTCCAGAGGAGCTGCCCAAAACAGCCTGGCCCAGCAGAGATGCATCTTTTGGGATTGCCCAAGGCTGGAAGTCTGCCTTCAGAGGCTTTTTCTTACAGGTCCGATCATGCTCATTAATCTCATACATGGTAGCCTGATGGATAAAAGTAATGGGATAGGGATGACTGATGCTTTTTTGATTCCTTTGGCATTTCTTTCTTTGACACTTGACTTTTACACCTTCTTTAATTTGCAGTGATTGGATAAAACACCAATACATGGCATTCGGGCTGTCTTTTAGCATGTAAAAATACATGAGAAAACACAAATTGCAGGAAAGTGTTAGGGTTTTAATACTTTTTAATTGCGATTACTGTAGGACAAGCTGATAAAAAATAGGCTATTATACAATTTCAAGCTTGTAATTTGACAGGATAAGAGGCATTTCTTCAGGTGTAATATTTCTTTTATAAAACAGTTCTACAAACGCTATTTATTAGTTCAACGGTAATCAGTGATAACACGTTGTGATGTTTGATATTTTTTTGGCTCTGCGAACACAAATAGTTCCACAACTGAACTGGGTCTGGACTGTTGCCAAGCAACACATAACATGTTAGCATAGGACAATTATTTTGTATCATGTACATTTATGTGTATGCAGTGCCGCACTGCAGCCCAGATGGCTTTTGCCTTTTCATTTCCCTTTCTCTAATAGTCTTCCATATGTTTCCCTCATGTTTGATTTCTTTAAATGTCACTTTGATGGCATGTGTGATTCCCATGAATAAAAAGCGTCATTAGATAGTATGTTGTGACACTGGCTGATGTCATATGAGCAGACCTAGAGGGATGCAGTGAAGTATCCAGGCTTCTTTCCTTCCCCTCGTCCTCTTCTGACAACCATTCATTATGTAATTCAAATGCTGTTTGTGGACATATCTTCATCTTTGCAGGTTAATCATTCGTACAATGACCGTTAATGTCGGCTAATTAATGGTAAATGTAATTAACACCTGCAAAACAGAGTGATACATGCATAGTCCCAGTGCAGCTGTACTCTCAGCACTCGTGGAATGCCTCTTGTCCAATCAAATAACTTTGTCGGTTTATGGTTTTATTGATGTCATAACCAAAGGACCACTCATGTATATATAGCTATCATTCGCAAGGTCAACATACAGGTTGTACTACCACAATAATTTAAAACTCTTCTTTGTTGAGTGAGGAGCGTATACTAAAGACAACTTAATTGAAATTAAAGATAAATAACATACTCTGAATCAGATTTTATAAATTCCTTACAATTTTCTGTAATTTATACTCCTCACTACCTGAGTACACTCTTGCTGGAATAATCTTTAGGAGCAGATCTCTGTGCTTCTACTTAATAAGATGATATCTCTTTTGGTTTTCACTTGTGATCAGGAGTGACTGTACAATAAAATAAATATTTAGGACATTCGTGTCATTGCTTTGCTCACCTGTTTGAAGAGCAGCAGAGCATCATAGGTGAATGACTTATTCTCGTAAGTGCCAACCTCCATGAGCCGGATCCGTTGTCCCAGTGCATCATACAGGTATTGGGCATAAGTCCACAGCTTTTCATTCTGTGTGGACTGGAGAAAGACCATGTAAGTGAGTTCACATCTCTCTCTCCAACCAAATCACCAGAATAAACTTTGGCATTGTACATTTCTATGAACCACGGATATGTAACATTTGTACATTACTATGTAGAGGATACGTTGAAACTTTAGGTTTCAATGACGCTGTGGTTTATTTGTATGGAGGACCACAAGTGTCACGGAAATGATAACAAAGTATTTAATTAATTGATAACGTCACGCAGAAAGCAATTGTTATTAATAAATTTGTTTACAAGTCAATTTAATAATTTATAATTAATAATTTATAATGTAATGTAAGACTAAATTACAAAGTAATTCATTATCAGATGATAAAAAGAGGAATTATAGAAATATTTTACAAATGAAATATTAATTCTTTCTCTAATGAACCACCTTTTCCTTCCCACCTTAATGTTATATATGAGTCAATGAGAGAGTGTGTTACATCCCATGCATTGTTTTCCTTGTTTAACAAGAGCAAGTCCCAGAGTGTCATGGAAATGCTAAATGGGGATGCTAAAAGGAGAAGCTAACTGAGTAAGTAAGTAAATCAAATGATTAACAGGAAAAAGAAAAGGAGCAGGGAAATAGAAATACAAATGGTGAAATGAAATTGGCCTCTTTCAATGCCTAATTAAAAACTGTTTTCTTAATTCAATTTGTAAATCTATTTCTTTTTTAAAATCGCATTTTCAAATAGAATTTTAAATTCCATAATTAATTAATTCATTAATCAATTAATCAATGATATTCAAATAATGTACTTATTTTTTGTTTAATGTTGCTTTGCTTAATCCCTTTTTTAAATTGAAATGTTTATTGATGGACTTATATTCCATTTGTAAAATGTCATCATATTTCTTCATTTTATCGCCAATAGAATATCTAATAATGAATTACTGTAATTCAGTCTATTTATTTCGATTGATGAATTAATTAAAACAATTATGATTGACTATACAATTAGTTATTAATTAATTAAATGGTTTATTACTATTTCAGTCAGGACCACTTTAGTCAAAGAAAACTTTATTTGCATTTGCAGTATATGTGGCTGTATGGCTCTGCTCTGGGGCCTCTCTGCCGGTCCTTGTGCCTACGCAGAAAGCCTAAGGCGCAGAGAGCACACCTTTTCCTCCTTCCATGTGCCTACGTGGAAAGCCTTAAAGCAGAGAGAGCAAACCTCCATGCCCTTCCATGCGCATACAAGGAATGCCTAATGCATTGAGAGCAAACCGCAAAGACCCCCCAAGAACAGCACAGAACATGCATCAAAGACAAACAGAAATGACATTGACAAGTCAGACACAAAATGAAAAGGAGCTGGGGTGAAGGCAGATTGCAAAGCAGCTTGCAGAGGAAGCAGCAACTAGGCAGGCCAGAGCAGTTGAAATAGGGCACCTTGAATGAGATTTGCCAATTAGTTGCATAGAAAGGAATTATGTGATCTGTCAGCTGACTCCTTCCATCAATCATCCATCACTTGATTGGGCTGCTTGAGATCAGCTGATGTAGCTGGGGTGTGAGCTGAGCTTAACATTGTGTCCTGCCTGAGCTAATGCTATGCTTCAGTAACAGGTATGGTCCTCCATAGATATGTGGTTGATTATGTTTTAGTTGCACAATCCCCACTGGAAGCGCAGCGATGGCTATCTAAGAAAAAACACCTGCTTTTTGTTGCACAATCCCTTTAGAAATGCTGACGTATGACACTGTAAATGTAATGTAACTGCTGTTTGCAGAAATGTTTCATGCCAACATTTTCTTCTGCCAACTGGGCTGCCCTCTTTCACACTCTGTAATCCTGCTCAGTCATTTTACTTAGGTCCTGCTTTATGATGCTCATATAGCATAATAAACACTCACCACAGTGAGGGCTCCGCTCAGAAGAGGAGGGCTTGCTGTGTTATGGAGGAAGATGTGTGAAATAGTAACACTGCATTATTTATCGAAAACACACATTTGACACAATAAAACAGCATTAAATTAGCCTGATCACTGTGTAAGTCAGTAACAGTATAAATATTCTAGAATATAATGAAAGCTTTAAAAAGCATAATACATAGGAGCTAAGAAATCCTACAAAAACAATGACTTTTCTCTCCCCTGTTATTATACTTACAGCATGGTTGAGGCTTCTGAGCCAGGCAGCCTGCCAGAAGGCACGATAACACTAAGAGTCTCATGCTTTAAGACTCCACACGCCTGTTGTCAGTTAGCAACAAATAATCTGGTGCTGCCGAGTGGAGTCACTTCCTTATAAGTGCAGGTACTGAGAGTCCAGGAAAGAAATCCGGCCTCCGGGGTTTATTTTTAACCCTTTTACACCCATTTAACCCATTAATCTGGGTGAAAAGCTGTTACGACACCTGCTGGTAAATATTTTTCAGAAGACAGAAGATAGTGTGTGTATCTGTTAGGAAATAAATATTACATCTTCACAAATTTCAACACATTCACCTAAAATACACGGTTCAGTATATTTTGCTGAGAACAAAATACAGCAATACACTACTGAGTGAAGTGTGTTCAGAGAAGTTTTCATTAAGTGCATGTAGCCACAGTGACTGTGGGGTCTGTGCACTGTGGGTCATGGGTAAAGAATGTTGTTTGTGCTCACAAAAGATGGTGGCTAATAAACCCAGAACTGGATTTTGGCTGAATGGAGAGGAGGCTTACACATGCTCTAGGAATTACATCACTGTCACATGATGTGGAGGCATGTGACTGCACTGATAAGGGCACCTGTTTATTGTCTTCTTGCCTCATTGATTTATTCCTCTGAGCAAATACTTAATTTAGCAGCATTACTTTATAATTTCATAATGTTTTCCCCCCTTTATTTCACTATTTACACTTGCATTTGGCTTACACAGTGAAAGTTAAGGTCACAAAATCAAGGTGACTTACAATCATGCAGTTTTACTGTATGTAGGGGAAAGTGGGGTCAATTGGGACAGTGCCTTTTTAGTAAGTAAAAAGCAACCATCCCTATGCCATTCACCATGCTCATAACCATACAAAAAAACATATGGAACAGTGACACAGCTACAGTTGGGACAGTATTGTCTATAGCTCCTACCTTGTCACAAATCAATAAAAAGTCAACAAGATAAAGGCTTTTTGACTCACTTTGAAGTCAATTTGTGTTTTAAGGTATATTTTGTCCAATAAGAGAGTTAGAATGTTAAGCCAAATTAATGTGCCATGTAAAAAACATAGCCTTGAGCATATTTTGACTGTGCAGAGTTCAACTGTTAAACTTAACAAGCTCAATAGCCAACATAAACATATAGGCTACATGTAGACTATGGTAACAACAGTGAGCTGATACACGCCACTGAAATGAAACTTGAGAGACAGTCAAAATCCATATTATAGTATTTCATTAAAATATAATGATTTTACAAATAACATTTTTCTCAAAGAAATGTTAACAAGTGACTTTGTAAACAAAAGGTGTTTTAAACTAAATTAAACTGAACAAGGTGAGCCAACCGACCCTATCCACTGTACCAGCTGTCCCTTGGAGGCAGAACTTTTGGAAAATGCACTCCTTGTACATTCAACAAAGTTGTACTTTCCATGTTTAGGTTGGACTCTAAAAAACGTAATTAATTATTAGCACCTGTATCTGTTCAGGGATCAAATTATTGTCATCACAGTTCATGTGAATAATAGAAGGTTATCTTGTGTCAACACAAATGTGTCGACCCCTATAACAAGGGGATAATTCATACTCTCCTTCATGACTATCGGTGTTTTACTGTTCTGACTCATGCACCACTATGATAGGTTTCAAGATGAAAAGAGCAGAAGAGCAATGCTTTGTTCTCATAATATATAGTTGCATAACATTTACACAAATGTTTGTCAGTGACAAAACAAAAGGACGTTAGCAAGAAAAAGATGGACGGACCTTTGCAGAGCAGTCACCTTACTGGCTAAGCTACATAGCTTAAGTAAATATTTTCCACCTTGTTATATTCATATTGGGGTTGTGTATTCAATCACACCCCCTTTATGTTTGAACAAAGTCACCTACATCTTATTCCTACATTTTAAAAGTCACTACTCATGTTGGCATGTCTACAAGGTTATTTTCTATCTACAGTTGAAACAAATGAAATGGTTATTTAATAAAAATTAAACTGGACAAAACCTTTGCAGCAAAGCTGAACAGCTACCACGAGGGTGTTAATAGTAGCGACATAAGTTAGATCAACACAGTGCTCCTGATGGAAAATTTTCATAAAGCACATGCTTCATTGTCTGTCACACTGTCAGGTGATTCCTGCACTGCCAATCCAGTTAGACAGCAATCCAGTCACATAGTGATGAGACAGTGATTAATTACAATAACATTATTTTCAAAACAAAACACACAAGTTTTAAGTATTATTTCTAGCAGTACAATCGAGCTTCAACTTGCAATCCTGTAGCTGTAAATCATAAAATGTTATTTTCTGACGATTTTTTGAATAAAATCTATCATTTCTTTTTCCATTTTCAAACATGGGAACATGAGACTGGCTTTTTTAAGCACCTGACCCATCCTTAAAAGTGAACGAGTCTGTTTACACATGGGGAAAGATATTCAGCTGACTAGCTTTCACAATCATATTTTCCAAGCCTGGAAAAGTCATTGAACTGGTAAAAATCATTAAAAGTCTTGGGAAAGTCGAGGAATAATTGTTACAGTTATCTTCCGTAGATAACCTTTCATGTTTTTTTCAGTCTTTTATCCAGAAATGACTTCATAATCAAAAGCATTAAGAATACACTGATAGTAAAATAATTTCTATTTCCCTAATGCTTAAAAGCCAGTGCCAGACTACTGATATACTGTAAGTGCTTGTATGACTGTGCCCGTGGTTTAAAGTACTGGAAGTAAATATGAACATAACCCACTATTAGAGATTAGACCAGTGTAATTATTAATTTCACACAAGAATTAACATTGGGAGTAAAGTATACTTTACAATTCTGTTTGTGTTATATGTTGTGAACAGTTTTGGACATTTTATTATGGCTCCTAAAGAAATCATGGAATAGTCTTGTCAATGAAAATATGTGGGCATTCAGCCCTGCATTCAGCACCCCAGATGGAATGTGCTTTCAACTACATTCATACTTTCTTTGATTTTATCTTTTCCATAAAATTATACTGTTATGTTTACATGAGAGGTACAGTAAGTCTATGTATCAGCCTCTGGCGTAGTGTGTCTAAGGTTATCAGAATCAGGAAGCTAAAAATACAAAATTTATATTAGCTGTACATGAAAAATACAGTAAAACTCTCAGGAAGGTGCATCAAATGCATATTCTCATATATTTTCTAAGCTAAAAATATGTCAAGTTTTCACATATTTGAGAGTGCAAACACTCAACAACTCCTCAAACTTTCTAAGGTAGAACATGTGACTGTCTGACAACTGGAGGTAGTTTGAGCAGCTGGCAAATGTCATTGCACTCTGGTCCATGCTGCTGCTCCAGGAAGATCCTGAGGCCTCTGGCGGCAAAGTTGGAGGGGCCTCTGGGGGTCTTGGTGGAGTGAATCTGGGGGTCAGTGAGGTAGGTCAGCCCTTTGCCATTGGCTGTCACCCACCCTGTGAAAAAAAACGAAAGGATGATGTGTTCACGATTAAGAACAAACTTTTATTATAGATAGTACATAGTGATTTCAGTGATCAGTGACACACAGACGAACCTTGCAGGTCAACAACCACTTCCTGGCAGTCAGAGAGCAGGTAGGTGAAGTGTCCAAAGGCAAGGCCATATTCTGTAGCCTGGAAACTCTTGTCCTTCTTCCAAGTGTTGTTGGTCAGTTTGACAAAGTCTCCAAGCATGTAGGGCTCCACTGTTACACATCCCACAATCTCATTTCCATTCAGAATCTATTAACAAATACAGAAAACAAAAGGGGAATTAAGAAATATTTAAAGGGACACTTCACCCCCAAATCAAAAATACATTTTTTTTTTTTTTCTCACCTCTAGTGCTATTTATCAGTCTAGATTGTTTTGGTGTGAGTTGTCAAGTGTTGGAGATATTGGCCGTAGACATGTCTGCCTTCTCTCCAATATAATGGAACTAGATGGCACTATTTTCTCTATGGCACTACACCTGCCAACCGTATTACCGTGCAGAAAGAAGAGTGCATATTCTCATGGATGAGAGGCTCATACTCATGATAGCATGATATGCGCACATAATTGCATCCTCCTTGGCTGAGCTGTAATGTTAGCTAGCTCAGTGGTGCCAGTTGAGCTAGCTGTTGATGCACGCTACCCTCTGCGCACTGATACTGTTGGCAGGTGCAGTTCAGTAGTGAGAAAATAGAAAATAGATGTGAAACTGCTCACAACAAGGTCTGTGGATTATCTTAGTAGTGAGTAACTGATTTCTGGAAAGAGACATTGCTGATGAGTTTTTGAATTTATTTTGGGGAGTACTGTCCCTTTAACAAGCAAAAATACAATTATGTGTATTTGTGTACTATAATTTTCTTCAGTAACCCAATGGCTTTATTATGTCAAATTAAATGTGGTGTTAGAGCATGATGGATGTTCTGTCACTACTCAAAATATTCACTAGTGCAAGTAATGCAGTCTTAGTATATAGTGTTTAATTTGGGGTGTGTGCAGAGACACTGAAGAGGATGCTTGCCACTGAGCTATTATCTGTATTATAATGTCCAGTTATTACCAGCCCATAGTGCATTCTAGACTAATAGCCAACAAATGATCAGCTCTAACAAAGTCTTGAGAGTATATTTCTAGTTGTGAACTGACAACTGGAGGGTGTACTGGGGTATTGCATTTGAATTTCAACTAACACTGCTCAAAGGCAGCTGCAGGCTATTCTGCACTCCGCTGTCTCTCGTTATGTATTTGTGTAGGGGGTCCTACTAAAGTGGCATTTGTGATTTGAGCCATTTGAATTCTCATGCAAAATCTGATAAAGCTACATTTCTTAGATGAAGTAAAACTTTCTATGTTTATTTTATATGTATGGCATGTAAATGTGGTCTGTATGATATGGCCTCACAAGTAGCGCTTCCGAGGGAATGAAGAAGATCTGAGCCATGACTTCCTTGTCGTAAAGACTCTTGTTGAATTCAGTCACATAGTACTGGGCTGTCATCTGTCTCTCCACATCTTTCAGGTGGAACTGGATCTCCTTTGGCTCCAAGTAATCTTTCCCCACATAACTAAATAAACATAAACATAAATACATAAAGTGAGATATAGTCCCAGTCCCATTTC